CAGTACTCTTCTTCCTCGCGAGCTCATGGAGCCGCTGGATGGCGAACAGCATGTTGAGCGTCGACCGGTGTGGGCGGAAACCGCTCTGCTCCTCCGGGAGGATGCCCTCTCGCTCGCAGTAGTGGCTCAGTCGTGTAGCGACGACCTTAAGCAGCACCTTGCCGGCGTGTGCGACGAGAGAGATGCCCCGGTAGTTGGCCGCACTCCATCGTGTCCCCCTTCTTGAACAGCACTTTGATGGTGGCATCCTTCCACTGCTGTGGTACGTCCCCAGTCTGCCACACGTCCAATGTGTATATTCCCGCACAAGCCTACTGCAGGTATTGTTTTCAAGCAAAAAAATCTATTCCACCTCCCGATCTAGCATCGACCGCGCTATCCGGCTGACCAATGAAAAGACGTCAGTCTCAGTGCGGTTGAAAACACAAAACACTTCTATCTGCCATGAACTGGGACCCCGTGAGGGGGCAGCATGGGGGAGGCTAAACTATCCTTCGGATCAATGACAGAAACAGCAGTGTGTGTTCGTCCCACCTATTCTCGCGCCGGTTTACAGACCTTTCAGATATAAAGATGCGTATGCATACGTGCCCCTTCCTGCTGTTGTAGTCTACTCAAGCAAGCTCCAGCAGTATCTCTCTTGATGTTTAGCATCTCATATGAACCAAACAACGAGGAGTCATGAAATACTCCTTTCGCGTAGTGGTCAGCATAAGACAAAGGGTGTCAGGTACAGAAGATGGGTGGTGGATGGGAAACAAGGGAGTAGGCGATGCGCTCACCAACTCTGCTGATGACGAAGCTCGTACTGCCGCAGACAAACCCGTACCCGGCAGGTGTCATGTTTGCCCCCGCTGCCTCTGCTGCTGCTGCTCCTCCCGGAAAGGCACCGTCACCAGCAATGAAGATTCCCACTAGAAAGGCTGCTGGTGCTCTCATGAACCGTGCGCGTGTACCGCGTTGACAACGCGCAACGGGTAGGGAAGAAGTGGTCCAAAAGGCAACCTGCCGCAACCGCTCTGCCCAAGATGCGGCGGAACCTTGGGCTTTGGCCCATGATGATTCACTGAGCCGCCTAGTCATCCGCTGGTCCTTTTGAGCAGCAGACAGGGCCAGGCGCACACTTCCAGACTCCTCCCTGTTACAGCAAGTTCACCGCGCTCGGTGAAAAGCAATCCAAGATTCGCATTCAACGGGAGGCAGCAGCATCAGTTGCCGCTCTTCTGGCGAGGCATCCCGCTGAGAGGCACCAGATGGCGTACATGTCAGGGAAAGGCAATAACCGTCAGACGGCCTTCCTGGCGGCGGTGAGTTTTCTCCTCTCGTCGCCTGCTGCGGCGAGCGCACGCGCTCGCCGCAGGACCATCGCGATAGGACGAACACCTCGCCGTGTGCATTGCCTCTTGGTGAAGCGGCGTTCAGATCGAGTTGCCCCCCATAACCTGTGATTTGCAACCGAAAAAATTGCTGCCCAAACGAATATCTGAGAATACGTCGGCAACAGCAAGACTGCCGTAGCAGTAGTGGACCGGCGGACCATCGGGCATCAGTAACTTGAATCGGCGGGAGGTTGGCTTTGACCTCTCGCAGGTCAAAAATGAGTTCGCGCGGACGACACAATCTGTCCTGTTGGTCTTGCTCCCTAGCTCTCAAACCCAAGCGTTTCTCCGGCATCTACACACATGTGTGCCCAAAGGTCGCGCAACGCGGGGAAACACCATGCCACGCTAGAGCACCTGCTGTGCATACCCACAAGATATGCACAGCAGCATGCTGCTGTAGTCGATGCATGCTCTCACAGGGCAGACAGCACTGGTTTCAAGTTAGACGAGGCCGCTGATCTTCTGCATGTGTTGACTGCCGATGCCTTTCCGAGACGGGTAAATTTGGAAGTGTACATAGGATATAGTCTCAATGGGAGGATTGGTGGGGGCTCCTCCGAGAACAAGTCCGACACACAAACCACTCCCCATACAATGATTTCTTGTTGGAGCCACTTACCAGCACGGGAGACATCGCTGTATGCTTCTCTGGGAATCGTAGGAGCACAGATCGCGTGTCCGCTAGCAACGCTATGGATTCATTGCTCATATATCCCGGGAACAAAAAATACAAGTATATCAGTTGATAGAGGTGAGTTCGTTTTGTGTTTCGTATCAAAAAAACAAGCAAACTCGTGCATGCAGTTTTACCCCAAAACCGTAGCGGAGTCTTGCAGACCGTGCGACTGACACTGACAAGGGGAGCAGCATGTCTTGAACACTAGTCGGCCAGCTGTGTTGCCATGTACCGTATGTCTCGACTTACACCCGGAGGTTCGCCCAAGGCGGTACAGGAATGCAGACCGGCATATGCCTAGTCGTGATATCCTTGAACGATAATGGTGAATAGTGCCGCCGCCAAGATCGCAAAAGGACTCCTCCAAATGTGGAAAAGCAGCAAGTGCACACGGTCGGGCGTACTGTTTCGGGGTTAGCCGGCGGGCACTGAAATCCGGAAGATATTTTAGCTGCAGGTTGGAGAGGGAGAGATCGTTTCCACAACTGTGGATACAGTCGACGACGGCGACGCGAACGGACTTGTGGGGGTAAACATATGGCACAAGCAGCACAGCCATCGGAGGCACACCAACAAGTGCTGATGCTGTGGCTACTCCATTTAGGATGCTATCCTCCGCTTCCGAGTTGGCTTGGTCTTCCCCCCGTCTTGCAAACAACGAGGCAGATAGACCGACAACAATCGCTGGTTGATATGACGCGGACAGTAACTCCACTTGACACCCGGCTAGTGGTCTAACGACAACGGCATGCACGGCTATGAGTGCCTCCCATCCCTCCTCTCCTTGTGGAGCGTGGCGTAGGCCGGCGAAAACTCGGCATATCGGGGGCTGCGAGGTCGATGATCTACCGACGACGGCACGCGTTTACATGAATACAACCCCCCCCAACAAATGCGAGGTCAATGGTCTAACGACTACGGCATGCACGACTATGAGTACACCCCCCCCCCCAACAAAAACGTTTTGCAGGCCGGGGGAACCGCGTTGGTGGGAGGTCTCCTTCTCGCTCGGTCGATCCACAATAGCCGCGCCAGGAAGAAGGTGCTGCAGATACCGTCGGCGCGGCGATCCGACCACACCGACGAATACTTCGGTCACGTCGTGCGGGATCCCTACAGATGGTTGGAACGTGAGGATGATGGCTTGACTTAACCCCCCCTCCCGGTAGGATGGGGAAAAAGCGTTCTTGAGCCACCTTTGGCAAAAGTAGGAAGGCATCGGGTGATCGGTCCTGTGGGAACACCGGTCCGTCCTCTCGAGGACGCGTGGCCAACGGTCTTACAATCAAGGCACGGAAACATGCGAGTACGCCCACCCCCGGATGTCGTGTGGAGGACCAGCGGGGCCTCGCCCCGCGGAGCGTTTTGTTCGTCGTGATGTCGAAGGGTGCCAGCAGTGCTGCCCGGGAGTGCTCGGGGCCAACCGATGGGATCCAAGTTTTTTTTGCCACCACTTCTGATCCCAAGTTGTCTGGGGCTGGGGGAGGAGCTAGCGTGCGGGCTGTAGTTGTCTGGTTTGGTTGTTTGTGTGCGGCAAAGAATGAACGTTTTGTCGTCCTGCCTCCCTGCTTGTCGTCGTCTCCTTTCTCCGTTGAGCTTTCCCACTCGCTTGAACACGTTCGTATGAGTGCATGTTGGTGGTGTTGCCGTTCCTAATCCCGTCCCTTCATGTACGTTCTGAAAGCAGCATGCTGTTGCCACTGCTCCAAAAGGTGGTGGTTTTTCTCCGTTTGTCGTGGCTGCTATTTCAGACGAACGCGTGACCTGCGTTGTTGTATGAGACCCAATTCTGTCTGCAGTGTAACCCCAACCATGTGTTGCGGTTTTAATATTTTCCGCCGTTCGCTTGCGACGGTTTTGATGATTGTTGGCGTGTGCCTGCTTTTTTTCTCCCGCTGCCGCAGAGGAAGACAGCAAGGAGACCAAAGCTTGGGTAGAAGAACAAACCAAGGTAACCCCCCGGCACAGAGCTGTATGCAACCGTACATGTAGCACCACCGTACCACATCGCGTACCGTACAGCACCTTTTTTTCGTGCCGTGCCTTACCGTGCACTGTCGCCGGATTTCGGCACCATCAAGAATCGGTCCCGGCGGATGTAGGGTTGTGGGAAGGGATGGAAGGCATGCGTGGGTGGAAGAGGGGCACAACGAAGGGAGCTTGTGCGCAGGTCTCGAATTGGAGCGTGGTACCGCTGGCTCAAAATGCTCTCCTTTTGCAGTTAGATGGATTGACTTTTGTGCGATGCCGTCCTTCCCACGGCAGCACACAAAGTGAGAGTTGTTTTGTCGAGGTCCGAGTTTCCGCGAGGTCTCGACTAAATGTACGTCGGTACTCGTCCCTTCTGGATGTGGCTAATCCACGCCATGCCCTTCTCCCCTGCCGTGCACGCGTCCGCTGTGTGTTTGACTGCTCTTGGTGTCGGTGGTACTTACTGGATGGGGGGGGGGCATGATGCCGCGTGCACTCGCAGCACACGGATGCGTACCTCCAAACGGAACTAGAACCGGGTCGAGGAAAGTTCCTGGCTAGGCTCGAAGAGGTAGGTACGGTCGGTGGGTCACGTTGACGGACGAGCGGGCGGCGGCAGCAGCAGCAGCGCATTGTAGCCCACCTCGATGTCAATGTAGGACTCGCTGTCTTTTCTCTTCTCTCTCTCTCTCAATGTAATCTGTGTCTCTTTACCTCCCGCTCTCTCTTTGTGTCTAGCTGTCCTCTCCGCCGCCGTTCTTGTAAGATTGAAACCTCCAGCAGCCTCCTTGTCGACATTCAACATTATCAAACAGCTGGTGCGACCCATGAGCTGGCTGGCCTCTCGTCCATCGATTGTTCGATGCGTTAATATTATAATTAATACCGCCTTCCGTTCTCGTCTGTATGTGTCAGGTTTTCAACTACGACAAGCACAGTTCCCCCTGGAGGGTGGGCGAATACTGGTTCTCCTACCTGCAGAAGGGCCTCAGCCCTCAGGCGGTCATGTACAAGCAGGTGCGGATTGTGGTAGCTATTTCCTTTTTTTTCTCGTCGTTTGTTAGTGTTGCCGTGGTAGGTGTTCCTGTCGGTGGTGTCGCTTCAAAGTGGTCGTATATCGACTCAATGGTTGTGTGCATCTTCGGTGTTGACCTCATTTTTTCTGTGTGTTTGTTTGGCACCTTTTCGAGTCCAAGTCTAGTAATATTATGTTTGAGCTTGTTTGTGTCGTTTCTCTTGTTTCTACATGAAAGCCTGGGCTGGATGGCACACGTTTCTCAGCGGGTAAATATAGAAGACAACTGCTTTCACCACAGCTCATTTATTTCTTTTTCTGCAACAAAGGTTGGGCTGGATGGCACGCCGGAAGTGCTTCTGGACCCGAACACGCTGAGTAAGGACGGCACTAGCGCTCTATCGGGGGTGGACTTCTCCAAGGACGGGGACAAGTTGGCTTACGGCATCAGCAAGAAGGGTTCTGATTGGTGGGTTCCAACGCCGAGGCCGCTCGCTGATTGGCTGGCTGACGGTCGTGCAATCTTGTGATTGCAGAGGCAACGGTTGCTTTTGCGACACGTTTGGCTACGTCGCTGCTGTGCAACTAAGCGTCCGTGTGTCCTGGTGACGTTGGTGGCGCGGTTCCGTAATCCGGTACGGTTTTTTCTTCCGAGGACAAACCAGATGAATCATAGTCCATTAATTCCCAAGTATAATATTAGCCTTTTTTAAGGCTTTAACTATACGGTCTGATAATTTTAAGCAATCTAAAGAACCGCCATCCATCTCATTAACTCTTTTTAACAATAATTCTTCAGATGTCGGTTCTCGACGAAGCACGGGTGCCACGGTAGCCGAGGGCGGCAAAACAACAAGCGTTCACGCACGAACGATTTTGTCTTTTTCCATCGATGCGTTGGGCGGTCTTCTTTCTTGAATGATTTTATTTAATTTTTCTTGCTTGAAGTCGGAAAGTTGTTCTTTCACACGTGTGTTCGGCCGTGTTCTTTTTTCGTGAACATACAGCAGGTGGCCCGATATAGGGCAACTTGATCGGTGGAACTGCCGACATAATGGCATCAACATCTCTTGTCACACTCTCAACATGAAAGATACATGAACCCGATATGTCGAATGGTGGCACTGCCCTGAATAGTGGCATATTCTCCTCTTGCCCCTACATGCGAATATGTCGGGCCACCTACTGAACATTTTCCGTTTTTTTTGGCGGCAAAACAACAAGCGTTTACCCGCGTACGATATTGCCTTTTTGCCATCCATTTCTTTGGCGGTCTTCTTTCCCGTGAATGTGTTTTTCGTATTTTTTTCGTGTTTTTTTTTCTTCGGAAGGTTTTCCATTCACGTGAAGGACGTGGTTACAGGCAAGGACCTCCCCGATGTCGTGGATTGGTGCAAGTTCGGAGGCATCACGTGGGAGGAGGGGGCACGGGGATTCTTCTACTCGGCGTTTCCCCGACCGAAGTCGTTGGAGGTGCGTGGTGGTTAGGATCCAGGGTGCTCCCGGCATCCCTCGCCCTCGTTGTGCGGCGATTGATGACACGTGATCCCGGGGTCAAGCAGTCGCTTCGCCTGCGAAAGGCAGCGACAACACTCGGGCTCTCAATTTCTATGCACGCCGTTTGGACGGTTTTCGCATGGGAAAGCTTTGCTGATATGTGCTCGCAGATGCCTTTCTTGCTTGAGCATTTTGTCACCGAGTTTTCGCGTTGTGTATCAGGAGTACCGCAATGAGGTTGTTGTCGGGACTGGCTGCAAAGGTGGCGTCGTGACCACCGTGTACCCCGAGGCAAAAGAAACAACTCTGTTCTGTTCGGAAATATATGAGCTATTCAATTACTAGTGTGATGTCCCAATGGCACCAATGTCTCCGAACAGAGGAGGCATAACGGTTGCATGGTTGTTTGCCCCACAGCCCGTCGTGTCCCCCGGCCTTTCCTCTGTGCCGGGAAGACGCAGTCAACCTCACACGTCTCGCGCCCTCCCCACCTCCCTCCCGCTTTTTTTTTTTTTTTTTTTCCC